AAAGTAACTAAATTAGGACGTTTTGTGTTGATATTTGTCTTTTTTTTTTTTTTTTTTTGTTATCAGTTGTTATTTGTTGTTATCTCGACAAAAATAAATACCCCACCAATTTATCTTTGTCCAGATAACAACAACTAACAACTGATAACAACAAATAACAACAGATAACAACAACTAACAACTGATAACAACAACTAACAACAGATAACAACAACTAACAACTGATAACAACAACTAACAACAGATAACAACAAAATAACAACTGACTACCTTAAAAATGAAGTAAAAGTAACTAAATTAGGACGTTTGTGTTGATATATTCTTTTTGTTATTTTGTTGTTGTCTGTTGTTATTCGCTGTTATCAGTTGATATATGTTGTTATCAGTTGTTATCGGTTGTTATCTGTTGTTATCTCGACTAAGATAAATGCCGAATTCAACTAACCCCTGCTGATAAGGAGGCAAAGTTGAAGGATTTGTTGGAACTCCGCAGTACCAAGATCATTCCCACAGATGCTAGACTCTTCTAAGAAAGTCTCCAGTCTGATATTAACGAAGACAACGCCGATGACTATGTGGAATAGACTACCCACTGACTTGGACTTATCACCAGTATTGAAGCGCACAGAAACAGGATACTTTAGTTGAGAACTCAGGTAACCAGTGGCGCGCTGACTTGTGACGGTGAACGGGGTCATCGCGTGGGCATTCTTCGGTCAGCGTGACCGCGCTGAAGGTTTAGCAAATCGTATTTTTCATTCTGAATTGAGCCCTAATTAACACAATAACATTGACTTAAAGACATCACTGCATGCGGGCATCAGTAGTTCCAAGTCTTTTTCATGATATTTCAAAAACAAAGAGAATCAGTATTGGTCTGTTTAGTTGTAACAGACAGTGCAAGATGGTCATGTCTGACTCCCATTATCGTTTCTAGTTATGATGTAATGAACGCCGATAATTAGAAAACTGAGCATCAGGATTAGTTCATCTTTAAGGGACACAAACGGAACACATAAGGGTATCTACTCACCAAATTTCACTGCTACCGCAGTTTGTGTGACCTCAAAATGGTTGATCTATGCATCACATTGTCGTAAATATATATTATATCCACATATTTCCCTCACTTGAAAGACAATAACTCCATAGGAATCATGGCGTAGACTATAGGTTTTATTCTCTTTACAAGTCTTGTTGTTAATTGTTCTTCTTTTTTAGTGAGTGGGTGCGTCTCTGTCTTACTCATTGCATGGCTGATGGTTTCTATGTCTTTGATCATGGGAGATGTTGTGCTGTCTTGGGTAGGCCTAAATGTTTCATGTATCTGGGCTGGAGTTGATGAAGCCAAGAGAGTCGCAGAAAATGTTTGGCCTTTAGTGGGTGTGAATGATGACGATGGAGAAACACGGACAGTGCTTACGCTGTGCTCACAACTGCTATCATGCGGTATGGGAGAATTTGTGACCGATGTGCTCTGACTGTGTCGGTGTGAGCTACGATGTGACTGTCCTGAACCATTGTGTCTGCATGTTGTACACCTACGTGTTGGTCACTGACTGGGACAACAGACTGAGGGTGGGGGTGGAAAGTCTGACTTGTACTTGTGTGTGGGTCGTTTTGTTGTGTTGAGTCTGTGGTGAGAGCACGGGTACATGTACTATGTACTCTGTGTGGTTGTGTCTGTCTCAGAAATGTTGGTGCTAGGACTAGCTTGGTGTGTGTATTTTTCATGGCTGCTGGAGTGAGACTGGGGGTCACGGGGCTTTACTGTTGCACAGCCAAGAGAGAGCAGCCTTTTCTGTTCACAGACTGTGCATGTTTTTGCATCACAGTTTTCATTGTAAGCACACCAGATGTGTTGACTGCTGTCAAACGTGTTTCTTAGTGTTTGTAGGGACACTGCACTATTTCGACGTTTAGCGTCATGCATTGTTTTATAGCATTTCAAACACACAAATTTGGAGTGTTTATTACTAGCATCATCTTTGATACTCAACCCAAACACAAGGAAGAGGTCACTGGCTATTTCCGAACACAAATACGGCTTTTTAAAGGATTATCTCTGCTTCCCTGTAATGTTCAGCCTTCCGCACACTCTACACAGACAGTTTAAAGCGGATACATGACTTTCAGGGGTGTGCTCCATTTTAAGGTCTTCGTTGTATACGTCAATAATGTTAGTAAATTCGGGGGCCCAACATAATAATCCGATGTAGCTTAACAACCACAACTGCGGTAGTACTGAAATTTATACACTCAAAACATGATTTATTAATGAACTCACACATCGAATTCCCCCCCCCCCCCCCCCAAAAATTCAATGCACCGTTTTGTTGTAATAAATGATTATTTATCCTCAGTTTGAAATAAGAAAAGCGTGTTACACAGGCAGCAAACAGACACGTGTAGAACACTTGGTACAACACGTAGAAGACTGGGACTTCCTTTTAAAGGTTGAGAAATGCTGTTGCTAAAGTCTATAAATTATAAATTAAAACTACTTGGTGGGTCTTACGGCACCACTGTAATTTAGACAGTAAATGAGACGATTTTATCAAGAACGCACCCCAGTTTATAACGGTGCGACGGGGTCAAAGTCAAATGACCTCAATAAAAAAAGGTCAGCAGGTACCGGGCGAGGTGATAAATCACCGCCAGGCGGCAGGAGCCGCGGTACAACTAAAAGGCGCGATTTCAACTGATTTCGTGCGCCGTGGTTCGTCAGGTCTAAAGGGCGGTTCAGTTCAGCAGCATGGACTCAACCATGGTATCGAATCCAAGAAAATAAGAATGTTCTGCCTTTTTTGTTGTTGCCTTTTCTGCTAGAGATAGTAGATAGGCTGCTACAACACTGTCAGAAAGCAACAATGGTGTATCCTTCATGCTAAGAAAACCTTCTTTTCTCAAGCAGCCGTCGTTATCAAAATCATGTTTTTTTCCATTTTCTCGAAACTCTGGAAATGTGACCGAGCCTTGGTATAGAACAAGCCCTTCAATTAATCAGTTATATATTGTGGTTGTTTATATTATTTCTCATTATGCTTGGTTCAGACCCTTGTATCTGTGCATTTAGACAAAGTTTCCACCCTTCCACAATACACTGAAAGGTCACCAGCATCTGTGGTGTAAGTGACGTCATGGCGCTCGCCGTCACACGTAGAAGACACATGTTCGAGTCCCATGTGGAGAGGATTTGCTATCGAGTATCTCGATCTTTCTGCTGTGACATTATATTCCTCTCAGCCCGGATAGACCTTGACAGGCAGAGTCGAAGCCCGCCCCATATATGATCCAAATAAATTGTGTCGATGGGTCATACATTTTAAAACCCAGAAAAACCCAACAAAGAAAGACAAACTCCCAAAGATACGGCGCATGAGAGACTATTCACACCAGTGAAAATGTCAATTTCAGGCAAATAAATAATTATAAACGATAAACTGAGCTCAAATATACTGAGGACTGAGACATCATGGAATCCCATAGAAGTTGGTTAACCTCATCAGGAGCATGTACGAAGGGACAAGTTGCAGGGTTATATATGATGGCAAGCTCACTGGCATCAAGACCGGTGTGAGGGGATGTTTGCTATCAACCTACCTCTTTATCTTGGCAATCGACTGGCTGATGAAGGAAACCACCAGAGGACATAGAAACGGTATACAGTGGACCCCATGGACACAGTTGGACGATCTGAACTTTGCAGATGACTTGGCGCTTCTGTTACACACAAAGACAACAATTTTAAACAGCCGCCTATCAGAGTCTGTTGAATTGAGGATCCACCCCGGAAAGTCAAAAGTCCTAAGGATAGATGCACTACGAAAGGAGCAGGTCACAGTAGAGGGAAATGCGCTGGAAGACGTCGAATCCTTTTGTTATCTTGGGAGTACACTTGACAGAGAGAGGGAGGAGCAGGCGCTGAAATAAAGTCCCGCATTGGAAAAGCACAGACTGCATTAAATTTCTTTGAACAGGATTTAGAGGATCGGGGATATCTCACTACGGACAAAATTTAGAATTTTCAACTCAAATGTGAAATCAGTCTTGTGTGGATGTGAGACATGGCACGCATCTCAGAAATGCATAAAGAGAATCCAGGTTTTCTTGAAAAAGTGTCTGAGGAAGCTACTGAGGATCAGATGGACAGACAGGATTAACAACGAGGAAGTATTAAGAAGAACGAGACAGAGCTCAGTCAGAGATGAGGTGGGAAGAAGGTGTTGACGATGGATTGGACACAATTTCAGGAAGGCAAGCAGCTGCATAACAAGAAAAGTGTTAGATTGGAACCCACAGGGTAAAAGATCAAGGGGAAGACCACGTTGAACCTGGAGAAGAGTCACGGAAATGGGTGTATAAGTGGGAAGACATGGAGACACTAAGCGACTAGCCCAGGACAGGGAAAGGTGGAAAGTGTTTGTTCGTGGCCTATATCCTGATCCAGGATGAGATTGAGAAAGGTTGATGATGAATGACATGAGCTCAAGTCGATGATCAAACATGCGCTGTGTTTCAAATTTCGACTGCGGGCCGACTTTTTAATGACTGGCAAAAAAAAAATGTAGCCCACCCATCTCCGGGCTCCTGACGGTCGACCTATAACAAGATACAATTTTTTTTTTAATCCGTTGTGGTAATGAGCACGGGGGCAGAGTCAGACGAAACAAAGAGTTGTATTTTAAGTCTGACAAACGAAGACAATTACGCCTTTTTATTGAAGGTCGATATTGTCACTACGATGACTGTGACATTCAGATCTTTATAATTATGTGCTGAATGTTCACTCAAATAATTAGAACTAAGGTTGCTATAGACTGCTGGCCCTGATGTTCGGTATGACTGAACAAATCTATACAATTATAAATAAGACACGGATATTATAACAAGTAATACATTCTTGTTAGACAATTTTAATGATATAATCTAAAATCGTTCACTTATTAAAAATAGCTGCAATAATGTTAGGGTGCAATGCAGGAACACAAAGATAAAGCATAGTTAAATTATCTTTTTTGTCTTTAATTAAGCCCTGGGTTCCTTTGTACTGGGTGTATAAATCAAGGTGTGTGCCTGAAATAGGGGAGGAGTGTAGCGCTAAAGTAACTGTGGTGTCGATGTCTCACACGTCTCTCCCACCCAGAATGTCGATTTCCCATTTGTGGGGAAACAGTTCAACTTACTCTCGAGACCTGAAAATGAGCTTGCCAATGACGACATCATCACCTTCTGGTTCATTTCATGAAAATATCGTAAGCGACGAGCAGTGGTTAATTTTCCAAGTGGTCAACATTGTGGTCATCTGTGGTCTCGTCAGTCTGTTCGGCGTGGCCTCCAACATCATCAACATTGTGGTATTTGCCAAGCAAGGCTTTCAGGACAGTATGAACATCAGCCTCATGGGTGAGACGGCAGTTGTCACATGTCTACAGTAAAGTTACTAACAATTTCTAACAAATAACCAAATCTACACTTACTTGAAACTAATAATTTATCTATCAAACGGTCTGGAACTAGAACATACCACACATAAGTGAGGTAGATATAATAGACGCAATGTTGAAATATATAGAATATAGCACCCAGCACATTTACCATACGTCAGCAAGCTGTGCTTTTGCTATAGATCTATGCCCAGAACTCTTCTTTGTTTCAGGGGAGAAAAAAAATTGTGTCCTTGCGATTTCCTCGCGTTATGAAGAAACCCGAGAATTTAAGAAGCGCTACTGGTTTGGAACATTATAAATATGACAATGGGCGACTCAAGCAGTGAATTCCAAACAAAACTTTTTGAGAGATGAAAAGGGCAAAACGCAACAGCACGCAAGAAAAAACCCACGGAACAAAAAACTCTCACTGTACAAATTAGTACAATAGGCACTGTCCATTTCCAACTTCTGACCGTTGTTTTCTTTTTACTCTCGCATGACTTTTTTGAAAGACAAAACGTTTGTTCAGGTGCACGACCCCCCCCCCCAAAAAAAAAATAATAATTAATAAATAAATTAATTAATTAATAAATAAATAAATTAATTAATTAATAAATAAATAAATTTAAAAAATAAATAAATAAATAAATAAATAAATAAAAATAAAATAAAATAAAATAAAATAAAATAAAATAATAATAATAGTAATCGAACAAACAAAAAACAAACAAACAAACAAACAAACAAACAAACAAACAAAACAAACAAACAAACAAACAAACCTTCCATTTCTCAGCTCATGACGACAATTTCTCTCCGCGTCTCCTTAAATAAAACATAAATGTTAATGAACTAAAGGGACAAAATACCCATTATATTCAAAAAGACACCAAAAGGAATGTAATGGTAGATACTTTACGCCCTCATCAACACAATTTTGACCATTTAGAAGGCAGCCGCTTCTGCGTTACCTGCCATGGCCAACCAGAACATTAATCAAAGCAAAAAACACACAGTGGCTACAACAAGTTTGGGAATCAAATACGCCAAATTGGTAAAGATAGAAGACCGTATTTATTTAAGTAGTTTTGGGTCCTCATACTTTACCCAGCCCGTCCCCGGGTGGTGGAGAGGGGAGAGGCCTTCAGATACGGAGGGAAGCTGCAAAGCAGTCGCGCACCAAAAGTGAGATGGTCGTGGAGAGTAGAAAACACCCTGGTGGCACAGGTGCTTCAGAAAATTAATACCTCGTACTCTCGAAAAAGGGACCATCTTGGCGATATCCAGTCCTGACAACAAAGTCCTTAAAATCTATCCATGTCAGCGGTGAGATTCCAAAAGATATCCATGATTAAGACCTATAACACCACGTGCCACTGAATGTGAGATGCATAGAACAATACATCTTACGAGTCATTTTATGAAAATCGAGCTGCGAGTAACAATGAAAAGAATGAAAAAAGTCTAAGAGCAGAGATGTCTAAAACACAATTCGGCTTTGCTACTGATAAGGGCACCAGAAACTCTACATGCATCGTTTTAATGGAAAGATGTATTGAATCATGGAAACACCTGTATAAATGTTTCATAGATTAATCAAAGGTTTTTCGATAAAGTTAGAGATGGTGGCCTATTCAAAATATTGGAAGAGCTTGACATAGATTTTATAAAAAAAAAAGATCTAAGAATTATAAGAATGTTTGTACTTGGACCAGTAGGCTGTTGTGAGAATTGAGGGAGAGTACAGCCAATATAAGCAGATTAGAAGAGGAGAGAGGCAATGATGTGTTATGTCACCAGACCTCTTTAACATGTACGGTGAAACAATCCTTTAAAAAACAGAAGAGTGCTCAGGTCTCAAACTGAACGACAAAAATAATAATAGCATTAGATATGCCGATGGCAGAGTTTTAATAGTAGATTCAGAAAGAGACTTTCAATCTGTTCTAGATACTGTTGTAACGGAAAGTAAACGTAAAAGGTATTGTGAGATATGAAGAAGACAGAATGTATGGTTATATTAAATAAGCAGTAAATCCTCAATCCAATAAGCAAAAGCGAAAAGATAAAAAAAACAGTTTTAATATAATAATTATTATAGGATACTAGTAAAAGTACCCGTTCTACGAACGGAATAATAATGAGGAAGTATTAGGAATGTTAAGAACTGGAAAAAGACTGAAAACAGGAAAGAAACAAAACATAAATATTTCACTTTGAATTTATCAATGTAGCACCCCCTCTTGACTACCTCTAGGGGTAAGACTTCTTCCCCCTCTTCGAAGGCGTGGCATTTTCTCCTAAAATTCCAGCTCAATCACTTTTTTAAAAAGGGTTAGGCCTACTTGATGTTTTATCTTGATCTAGATTTGGTATTAGATCTAGATCTAGACATAGATCTACACACGAACACACTGAACACAAAATATCTTCTTCTTCTTCTTCTTCTTCTTCTTCTTCTTCTTCTTCTTCTTCTTCTTCTTCTTCTTCTTCTTCTTCTTCTTCTTCTTCTTCTTCTTCTTCTTCTTCTTCTTCTTCTTCTTCTTCTTCTTCTTCTTCTTCTTCTTCTTCTTCTTCTTCTTCTTCTTCTTCTTCTTCTTCTCCTCCTCCCCCCCCCATCCTTCCTCCTCTTCCTCCTCCTCCTCCTCCTCCTCCTCCTCCTCCTCCTCCTCCTCCTCCTCCTCCTCCTCCTCCTCCTCCTCCTCCTCCTTCTTCTTTTTCTTCTTCATTTCTCCTCCTCCTCCATCTACACCTACACCTTCTCCTCCTCCTCCTCCTCCCCCTCCTTCTTCTGCTTCTTTTATGAGCGCTCCAAACCAGCTGTGAGAAGACGGCCGAAAGCGTGGGACCGAAACTGGGAATTCCCGTAAACCTACTTAATGTATAACTGAACACAAAATTATCCTTCGGCGCAGTCGACACTCCGCACTGAATATACATGTCGAAGCAAATGATGGCGATCGCTACAAACGGACTGAGTTTAACTTAAAAATGGGCTTCCTTCTTACACATTTGATCTTAATGATAATACAATAGTGCAACACTACGTTTCAAGTTATTTTTACTGGCAGAGTTTCATTCAGCAGTTTTTGAGAAATACTGTTCGCAAAATTTGGCCTTAGCTCCATTAGTAGTAAGATATAATTAAATATGATACAAACGGTCCACAGAAATAAAAAGAAGAATAACGAAAACGAAAGATAGTTTCAATAAAATGAGCCCAATCCTGGAAAATAAAAAAAAGTCTCAATGAATACAAAAAGCAAGATTCTATGTATGCTTAACCCTTCTGTGGCTGTGAACGCTGAACAATCACAAAAGACAGTGGAAACGAAATAAAAGTGACAGAACTGTGGTTTCTTAGGAGACTGCTGAGAATTTCTTTGAAGGAAAAAAAAATCAAATGATGCATTACTTGAGGATGCCCACATGAGCTGCTCGCTGATTTAAAAACAAAATCAAGAAAGGGCAAATGCAGTTTCTGGGACACTTGGATAGACGGAAAGGACTTGAACATTTAACTCGTACTGGCAAAATTGAAAGCAAACGAGGGAAGGGTAGACCCAGAGAAACCTACTTGGAGAGCTTAAACAGATGGGTGACTGGGAAAGATCAGGATTGTAGCTTTTTGTAGAGCATCAGAACAGAGGAATGAATAAAGAGCCTTGATCACCTATGTCTGTTGTTGATCTGGCACTTGATGATCATGAAGATTTACCGAACAACAAATGATGATTTACCGAACAACAAATGATGATTTACCGAACAACAAATGATGATTTACCGAACAACAAATGATGATTTACCGAACAATGTATACTGCATCTCGTAAAATGTTTATCATTTCAGGGCTCGCTGTGTCTGACCTGTGCTCCCTGTTGCCCATGATATGGCTAAGCATCTGCCTGAACCCACTCTTCTACAACTCTGAGTTGCCCTTTGACCCTATGGATCTCATAAGCCTCACGGGGGGCATGCCCCATATCACCTTTGTCAAAATCGCTACTATTATCACCGCCTTCATCACTTTCGAACGATGTCTATGTATCGCTATCCCTCTGAAGGTGAAGACGATCATCACACCGGGAAGGACAAAGATAATTATTATCTCCATCTACATTGCCATGTTTGCTATGGTAGTCCCCTTCTGCTTTGGAAACGGAATTGAGTCGATTTTCGATTACACCACGAATGCTACTGTGCTAAAAGCCACGTTCACAGCCGAGAGAGAAGAGTTGGAAGCCATTACGTTTCTCTTCCAAGGCATTGTTGCTACGACGTTTTCTTTCGTCTTCGTCGTCTGCTGTACCATCGTTCTTGTCGTCAAACTCAACAGTAAAACAAAATGGCGGCAGGCCACTGCAGCCAAGTCTGATCGTGCAGCGGGAGGTGTTGGGGTCAAAGATCAAAAGGTTGTGAAAATGGTGACCTTGATCGCTGTCATTTTCATCGTGTGCTCCTTACCTTCAACGTTTTTGTTTCTTTACATGGTGATCGACCCAAGTTTCCGTGTTGATGGTGTCTATCCAAATATGTTTCTTGTCGTTTGGTCTTTATCATCCCTAACCGAAGCTATCAACTCTAGTGTGAATATATTTGTGTACCTGAAAATGAGTTCGAAATATCAAGCAGTGTTTATGAAAACATTTTGGAACAAGAAGGAAAAATAACTTTTTGGATACACGCTCACAAAATACAAATCACACACACACACACATACACACTTACACACACACTCTCTCACACACACACACACACACACACACACACACACACACACACACACACACACGCACACACACACACAAAACACTCGGGAGCGGGCTCACCCGCACGTGCATATTCTCTCAAACATTCTCTCTTCTAAATACATATTTAAAATTACAGACTGATCAACATGACCAATCTTTTAGTTTTAGTTTAAGTAGAGGTTTTACGACACTCGCAACTGCATAAGGTTATATGAGCGCCAAGGGGTGGACGTCAACAGAGAAGTCCTTACAGGGAATCAGACTTACTCTGCTCACCTCTCTAGCTCTAGCAGTACAAAGTCTGCTTCGACTGTCAAGGCACCCCGGAAATAGGAGTTCACAAGAGTGTGACTAAACATACAATAGAATAAAGGAAAATGACGATAGTAAGGATTAGGAAAGAAAAAGCAGCAGTTCCCTGTTGTAGTTCAGGCACATTTAGAGCATGACATTGTTTGATCAGCCCATTTTCAATTCTACTGTGCACTAGAACGAGAATGTCCAAAAATTGACGAGCGCCTTATTCTACGGTGTGGTAAGAGATATGTTCATTGCAGACAAAATAATATTCTCCATTTATTTGACATTTCATACAACATGTCCATTCCACCAGCAGTAAACGAAATAGTTCTGAGAAAACAAGAACAGACAGACATAGTATTTCATTCGTGCCAACTGCTGTGAAGTTTATACTGAACACACAGTGCTACAAATGAAACAGAGAGAGGGAGAGAGAGAGAGAATGTTTTACGGAGCAGGTTGTTTCAGCACGTGAAACATGTGTTTACTAATGTCCTGTCTTGTTGTGCGTGTGTGAGTACACCTAGATCTAACCTTTGTAACAAAGCGATCAAAACAAATGTCTCCCTGTGAGATGAATAAAGAATGTCTTTGTCCTTGGCAATGTTGATGCACCTGAATACATTTGCAGAGACAATAATATTCTCCATTTATTTGACATTCAATACATGTCCATTCCACCAGCAGCAAACGACATACATATATCTACAAGAAAACAAGGACAGACAGACATAGTATTTCATTCGTACCAACTGCAATGAGGTTACTGAGCACACAGTGTTATAAATGAAACAGAGAGAGAGGGGGGAGATATAAACTCGCCCCAAAAAGTCAAGGAACAGCTTATGTTTTCACCTGTCAAATTCAAACTTCAATATCTCACACACTTGTTAAGATCAGTCATCCAAACTTGGCACACGCATTGACGACTAGACACAGTTTGCCCCTGCGACAAATTTGCAAGCACCAGCATCATAGAAACGGCGCAGGGCATTCTGAAACACAGCCAAAAAGCATGAAAAATGGGCTAAATTTCTCTGACTCAGCAACATTGGCATAGGGACTGTTAGCTAAGACTATGCTTGGCACGTGCTAAACAGATGTGTTACCTGTGAATATTGCTCACTTACAACCCTTTAGAAGCCAGCGTTTTTCAGCCATGTTTCATTACAACACGATGGTCCAACAATGCTCGCTGCCTGACGTCGACAGAGGATGAGCCCTTGCCTGGCTCCAAGATGGCTCCACGTTCCAAGTTGTTGCACATCGACTTGGGGTGTCTCCATCAGTCCTATATAGAGGCTGCAAGAACGATGGTGAGCGACCGGAAGGGTCTAGGACAGGCCTCGACCAGGACCGCCCCGTTTGACCAACAACAGCATCGACCGGTTCATCGTCAAACAGGCCGTGACGTCACGAACCACTACTGCAAACGGCACCAGGGACCAGCCACGGGTGACAGCCAATGTCCACGAGAGCGAGGAGACGGTAAGAAACCGTATCCGTAGAGCCAGGTTAGCTTCTCGTGTCCCTGCCAGGCGCCCAAGGCACACGCTACCCCACAAAGCAGCTCGCCCGGCGTGGCCTGCTCTCCATTCACAGTGGACACAATGTCAGTGGGACCAGGTAGTCTTCTCGGACGAATCCAGATTCAACCTGCTGCACCCAGACAGGCGAGCCCACGTCTGGAGGCGCCGAGGAGAACTGTTCCATCCTGAGTGCATCCAGCAGGCGACCCCCTACGGTGGAGGGCCCGTTCTGGTGTGGGGAGGCTTCTCAGCTCACCACAGGACCCAGTGTACCATATACAGGGCAATTTGACCGCAGCAAGGTACAGGGTGAAATCCTGTGTCCCCTTGCTGTTCCTCTCCTGCAGCAGATTGGACCCAAGGCTGTACTGCAGGACGACAACGCCACATCACATCGTGCACGCATTGTGGGGGACTTCCTGCAACAGCGAGCTGTCACCTGCATGGACTGACCAGCTTGTAGTCCGGATTTGAACCCAATAGAGAACATTTGGGATCACATTGACCGGTGGATAAGGGACAACCACCCTCCTGCACAAAACCTTCAATA